GGCTTTCTCAAGCTCATGCTCTGCTTGGCGGAAAATCTGATGTGGCTCAGCCTCACCCAGACTCTGCTTCCAGTGGCCCCCAGGTAAATTGAGTTTGAGACCCCTGATTTAGACAAGGGTCTCCAGTCCTTTGTTTTGGAAATCTGGGGTGGTGACAGCTAACTTGCACCCAGGGCTTCCCAAAAACTTGGTCCTGGGGCAGAGAACCCTCACTCTGAAGTGGGGTGGAGAACAAAGAATCCTTGTAACAATTCTGAGAACTGAAAACCGTACTTTATTTTGAGGGGCATGCTGGTTAGTCCTAATAAAGTATTGTCCACATTGTAGTGTTACAAGACGGGAGTACAGTGGGGTCTTGACTTGAGAACTTAATCCGTATTGGAAGGCGGTTCTCAAGTCAAAAAGTCTGTAGGTCAAGTCTCCATTGCCCTACAGTGCATTGAAAACCGATTAATCCCGTAACAGGCCGTTTTTGTTCCATTTTGGTTTTTTTCTGGTCTGTAAGTCAATTCTCAGGCTGCAAGTCAAACCTAAATTTTGCGGCCAGAGAAGTCTGTAACTCAAAAAGTCTATAAGTCAAGCCGTCTGTAAGTCAAGGGTCCACTGTATATGTGCACATTTATTTGTCACCTTTCTCCCAGAAAAGACTGAAGGTGGCTTCATAAAACATATTGGCCCAAATCCTGTGGCACAGCTCTACATCCACAGTGGGAATGGGAGTGGCCGTAAATTGTTGGTGATTTCAACATGCACATGCATTTATTACATTGTTTACTAGTTGTGCGCACTGCACAAGTGCCAAAGGAAGCCTTTAATCAGCAGTGTTATGCCACTGCTAATGACAAAATTCTCATGGCGCATGTGGAGCTGCACAACAGGATTTCAGCCATCAAATTTTATTTTAAGAATGTTCCAATTTGTCAAATGCAGCCATAATAATTTTGCTTTAAAATGCACTTTATTGCTACACAACCTCCCTAACAACATATTTATATCTTAAGGACTAGAAAATTATATTACACAACCTCCCTAACAACATACGTATTTATATCTTAAGGACTAGAAAATTATATTTTACAGTATTTAGGTACCCATCTATCCACATTCTCAAAGTTTTAAGTGAATGTTCTGTCAATCCTTTTTCATGCTTCAGAACAAGAAACAGGACTGAAATGTTCCACGCCTGTGTATATTCTACATGCAAATATTTAGAGTGGACTTGTTTACAGCAAACACAAGCAGGTCATGCAATGTCAAACATGCATTTACAGAAATACAAGAATAGATGCCATTCTGTAGCTACTCACCTGCCATATCAATGGCGAAAGGCCTGCCTGCCCGCCAACCAGTGTACCAGCCAACAACCTTGCCCTTTTCCACAACTGGGCGCTCATAGCGTCGTCCGCCCACCAACCCCACAGGCCATACAGACACTTTTCGGGTTGTGCGCATCTGTAAGAATGAACCAGAGAACCCTTTTCATCAACCGGATACTGCGTTATAATGAGAGCCATCAAGACATTTAAAATAACCATCAGCTATTAGAAACGTAACTGATGTCCTCTTGATCCTATCTCTAGGGAGCTACTACTCAAAGTAATGCTATCTTCCCAGAAGTTCCTTAGTTAAATGATTAGCTATTTAAACATTTGAACTTCCTCAAGAAACTCACTGGATAACCCTCGGCCAGCCACATACTCAAAAGGACCTACCTCAAAATTACGAAGCTAAAGTGGGGAAGAGAGCCATGTACATCACCTTGAGCGCCTCAGAGGGAGGGCAGGATCAAAACACAGCAAATAGAAGTGTTTTCTATGGGACAGAAAATTCACATTCAGACTATAGCTAGCTAAACACACCAAATAGAAGTGTTTTCTATGGGACAGAAAATTCACATTCAGACTATAGCTAGCTAAACTGTAATTGATATTAACCACACATTTTTGTTAGGACGAACTATGGTTAGATAAAAGCATAATTATACAAGGCAAGCTTCAGTCTTGTTCCTGTAGTGTCAAATCACAGATGGGTAGTTTCCTGGAGTGGGGTGGGAGAGGGGCTGAAATAACCCCCATCTCATAACCCCCTGAGGGGGTTGCACCTCTGCACTATTTCTGCCACTACTGGAAACAGGCCACAGCAATTGTCAGGAAACATGGTGTGAGAAACATTGCATGTCCCAGCAGAGTCATGTTCCCAGCAAGCTGCTCTAAATGTGATTCTGCAAGGAAAAACAGTGCATGTATATCGTATGTCAACTTTCTTGAATAAAGTGGAGGATTTTTCTGGTGTGAGGGACCCAGGCATTGGGCACACAAATGGCTAAACACTGATTCACCTATACAGTGGTGCCTCGCTTTACGATCACTCCGTTTAACAATGAAATCGCATTATGATTAACTTTTTGCAATCGATTTATGATGTTTACTATGGGGGAATTTCGCTTCGTGATGATCGGTTCCCTGCTTCGGGAACCGATTCTTCGCGAAACGATGATTTTCCTCCAGCTGATAGGTGGTTTCAAAATGGCCGCCAATCGCCGGGCAAACAAAATGGGCCACCTCTGTTTTCTGGGACGGATTCCTCACTGCACAGGCAGAAAAATGGCCCTATGGAGGATCTTCGCTGGACGGTGAGTTTCCAGCCCATCGGAACACATTAAACAGGTTTTAATGCGTTTCTATGGGCTTTTAAATTTCGCTTTATGACGTTTTCGTTCTACAGTGATTTTGCTGGAACGAATTAATGTTGTAATGCGAGGCACCATTGTATACTAAACTATGGTTGAATCCCATCAATACAGTATTGTATTGTGTAATATACGGTGTACAGTATTATACAGTGTATTGTACGGTGTAATGTAGGACTCAGTGAAATGGGTTCATATCCCTGCTGAGCCACTGGATGACCTTGGGCCAGTCAGTCACTCTTTATTAGCCACAGAACTCTTGTGAAGGTAAGTGAGGAGATGAGCCATGTATGAGGTCCTCAACTAACTGGAAGAGAAATGTAAACATAACTAACAAATAACAAATAGAGAAATACATTAAATGTTGTGCATAATAAACAGAGCCGGTATGTTGGCCACAGTCATTGATAATTAATAAAGATCTCCCATTCAGGCTAAAATGTACAAAACCATGCTGATTCTCTCTCTCTCTCTCTCTCTCTCTCTCTCTCTCTCTCTCTGTCTGTCTGTCATCCTCTTTCTCCCAATAAAGGAACACATCTATATGTATGTTGTGCATATTCTAGAAGTTGTACAGGAAAATCTGAACGATAATTGTTTTACAAATGTACTGGCTGAAATTCTATTGCAATGTTATTCAAAATGCTTAACTTTTTGAGGAGAACTACCATAAGTTAAAAGATCTCCACGGGTGCTATCTGTTACACAGTGAGTAGTGCTACTCAGCATACAACAGATTAAGTTAAGGAGATCTCCTAAGGCAATTCCCCTACAAAAGTTACATTTTTTGCAACAGGATTTCAGTCAGCGAGTGGATAAAAGTTAACAACTCATTGTTACACTTTTCTGGAACCACCGTTCTTGTAAGTTTATATCATTAGCATTAATATAAGTACAGTATGTTAAACACAAACCAACTTTGTCCTTCTAGTACACGTCTCCTTTCATGTTAGCCAATGAAAAAGATCCAAGAGATCAGTACTTAAGAACCCTCTTTGTGCTGAGATCTTGAATGCACGCTTATCTCTTGGAACCACCATCAAGAAATCATAAAAGATTACAGCATCCTTCATGTTAGCCTCTGGTACTCAATAAAAGACAAGAAATCAAGCATTCACGCAAACATCTCTCATGCATTATTCAGCTTCTTAAACTAGTTTGGAACATTTGTTGTGCTACAGCCTAGAAAAAAAAGACCAAAAAAGGAGAACGCTGTAAAGTAAAACACGTATCTAAGGAGACACATGAGTGAAATCTTATTTACTAATTAACTAAGAAAACACAGAGCAAGAAAATGCTGGTTATACATACACAGTTTAGGGAAGCAATAAACCCATCATTCCATGAAAAATCAATGCGATCAAATAAGCTTCTTCAGGAAGACTCAAGAACGCCTGCGTGCCTTATGGGAAATGAAATATTTCCGGTTAAAGAGAAGGTCCTAAGGCTAAACCAGAAAACACTTTTGAAAATCCTCTCATGTGAAATGTAGGATTGGTAGTCTAAACACACATTGAGTCTAGTTATATATCACTGGTTAAAATCCTGTTGCTTTTTGTAGTTAAGATGCAACTAGAGTAGGCCCACTGAATCAGTGGGAATTCCATGTGTTAATTTCATGTAAAGCTCCACTGATTCAATGGGCTTACTCTAGTCAAAACTTAGTATGCTAATGGTTGTTGTCGGTTTTCAGGCTCTTTGGCCGTGTTCTGAAGGTTGTTCTTCCTGATCAGCTTTGACATAGTATCCCTGTTCACTAAGGTAACAATAAAGGACACCCTGACACTCATCCAGCAGATATTTCTGGAAGACATCAAAGCCCTCTTCCAACACTGCCTAACAACCATCTATTTCCAGTGGGATAATGAATTCTATGAAGAGACAGATGGAGTGGCCATGGGCAACCCCATCAGCCCAGTTATAGCAAACTTCTACATGGAGCATTTTGAAAAACTTGCCCTGGCTTCGGCACCCCTCGCACCCAGAGTCTGGTTCCGATATGTGGATGATACCTTTGTAATTTGGACCCACAGTGAAGAAAAATTGGAAGAATTTCTCAACCATCTCAACAGCATCCACCCAAATATACAATTCACCATGGAAAAAGAAATAGAGGGCCAACTCCTGTTCTTAGATGTCATGGAGGAAAAGCTGATAAGGAAGAACAACCTTCAGAACACGGCCAAAGAGCCCGAAAAACCCACAACAACCATTAGATCCCGGCTGTGAAAGCCTTCGCGAATACATTAGTATGCTAAGTCACAGGATTTCAGCATGTAAAACACAGAATCAAGAGAGTCAAAAGAAGAAGGATTATAAAAAAAGAACTATGAAGCAACAAGAAAAACAGCAAGCTCTGTCTCCCAGAGCAGTCAATGCCTCTGAACAAGGAGCACAAGCTACAACAGTCAAAACAAGGACATTGGTGTAGGTCATGGGATGGCAGCCTGTGGTCCTTGGGTACTTCCTGTATCCTCAGATTTCCCCTCTCCAATTGCCAAAGATGCCCTCATCACTCAAATTCCAGCAATTCGGCTAGGAAACGTTGTGTTAGGAGTATGCAGGCCTTATTTCCTGGCAATCCTAGCAGCTGCCGGGAAGACAATTCTGTTGGGAAGCAAGGTGAGTGATACCTGTTGTAACAGGCAGCCCTGACCTCACCTGTCCGTCACAGTTGGGGTAGTGAGTCATTGACCAATGGTGTGACGGAGGGTGAACTTAAGGGGAGGAGCTGGTGTATAAAGGGGTGTGTGAGAGAAAGAAGAGATAGATAGGGAGAGATTGCTGACTGGAACTTAAGATGAGAGAATGAGCTGAGTGTTAAAGTGTTCTTAGAGTCAGTGAGAATCTGTGAGAAAGAGTCTGTGATAGCTAGTGCCTGAGAAACAGTAATTGATTGATTGTTTCCTTAACAGTGATTTACCATTCCTTTATGTTTGTAATCAATAAACCAAGTTTTTATTTTGAAAATGATACTGGCCTTTTGTATAATTTATTTTATAAGGTATGGTTGGTGGCAGTAAAATGGAGTAATGAGATTTAAAGTGACGTGACGACCTCCCTTTGTGAGTCGTGAGGAAGGCCGTCACACCTGTGAGTGATACCTGTTGTAACAGGCAGCCCTGACCTCACCTGTCCGTCACAGTTGGGGTAGTGAGTCATTGACCAATGGTGTGACGGAGGGTGAACTTAAGGGGAGGAGCTGGTGTATAAAGGGGTGTGTGAGAGAAAGAAGAGATAGATAGGGAGAGATTGCTGACTGGAACTTAAGATGCGAGAATGAGCTGAGTGTTAAAGTGTTCTTAGAGTCAGTGAGAATCTGTGAGAAAGAGTCTGTGATAGCTAGTGCCTGAGAAACAGTAATTGATTGATTGTTTCCTTAACAGTGATTTACCATTCCTTTATGTTTGTAATCAATAAACCAAGTTTTTATTTTGAAAATGATACTGGCCTTTTGTATAATTTATTTTATAAGGTATGGTTGGTGGCAGTAAAATGGAGTAATGAGATTTAAAGTGACGTGACGACCTCCCTTTGTGAGTCGTGAGGAAGGCCGTCACACCTGTGTAACATGTTTCCCCTCCCAAAATAAGCAAGAATTTGGCAGCATTGCCAGGTTGGGGGGCGGCAGCAGGAAGGTGCATCCCTAGCGGCTTCTGGGAGGGCCAATCCAGAGAAGTCATCAGTTCCTGGTGTAGACAGCTTCTACATCTCACTTCTTCTCCTTGATCATTTCAAGACTCTGGCTAGTTTTCAATGCCTT